GTCTTCTGGGTTAGCCACAGGTAATCGTGCATGCATGGCCTGCACTGCCAGTCAGTAATCCCATGCTGTTCCCCAGCTTTTCAGCAATGTTTGGTCAATCATGTTGCAGCACAGATGACACCAGTTAATAGGATGTGGTAAATGGGACCATTTCTTCAAGCAGCAATAGATCTCAGTTCATTAAACCAATACTGATTAATTCTGCTTAATGGAACCAATTTGATAAATAGACAAGCTTCATTTCAACCAGTGTCCCAATTAACAGGCTTCGGTTACAACACATTTTCAAAATAATATACTGAATGGATAACATGATAGAGTCTGAGTCTTATTTATCGCTGGCATCAAAACATTAGTAATTTCCCAATAAGTAATAAAATGTGTAATTAGCAAGAACAAATGACTATCAGAACAAATTCTGCCCTTCTATAAAAGCCATTGTCAGTGTTAAAAATCAAACCGTAAACTTTTCAAAGCTGCCGAGTTTCTTTAACTCACAAGTAGGTGTGGCCAACCTTTCAAAGCTCAAGAGACAGAGAACAAAATTGTGGATTGATAAACTGCCACAAGGGTTAATATTGCCAAGAACCAATAAATAAAATCTAAGCCTACTTAAATCCAGGCAACAATATACTTTACAGAGCCAGGCAGACACCCATCACCTCATAGAGAACGATTCACTGGTTAGCACTTCTCTTCCTTGGGGGGAGATAAACGAGGTCTCCTTGGAGTTGAATTGGCTCCAAGGTGACATGTCTGGCAACAGAATATCGGAATTGAGCCAGTCCTCTGTGGCAGTATCAGTTGTCCAGTTCCTGAGCCAGATGGATCCGCAGTACTCCAGGGTACTGCTGGTGACAGCACAGCCAGCCTGGCTTATTGACAGGATTTGGAGGGGCAGACCAGTTACTGGGGGCAAGGAATCCTCACAGCTCCTGCTAATTCTGCAAGCCAAAAACCCTAACAGGTAGTGGTGTCTGAGCTGCACGAGTAGAGTGAAAGCTTGTTAAACAGTTCTATCAATGGCAAACTATGCGGTTTTAGCTAGTTAGACTCCAGGAGTACTCCAACACAACACACACTCTGGGTTCCCCGAGCCTTGGCTCTTGCCAACCTGTACTTAATACTTTCCGGAATTAGGTAAGGTTGCATCCCTCCCGGGAGAGAGTGGGCATTCCATTCCAATAATCTATCTGTAGGTGTGTGGAATTCTCAGTTTGGTTTTGATACTGTTAAGCATGATGATGGGTTTCTGTATGAGTCGGACACCCGGCTGACCCCCAAACATCTTTAGAAACACGTAAGTAGCATCTGTCATCGTAGGACAACATACAGCATATTTTGATTCTCCCAGTAATAAATCAGCTGTCCTTTCAATTATCATATTAACATGATATTGCACTGAATCCTAACACGTATTGTTGATTTGGTTAACCCAGATACATGCACTGCATGATCAGTAGTGGGAATTGATCAGTAAACTAACCATGTAGTTCAAGATAAGCAAACATAATAAGTTACAACATAGAGAAATGTGACCTCCAACTGAAAAAGCATTCACAGGAGCAGCAAGAACAAGAAGATTGTGGATGAAACAATCCCAAACATATAGCAAATATGACATTTATGACTTTTAATTTTGCTAAGAGATCCAGGAATACACCTCTCTCAATTAAGAAGATTGCATTGGAAATTAAAAATCTTACCTGTCGTCAATCTGAACTCAATGTTGAACTGTGGCGTGTACACAAATTAAACCACGTTGACTTTTCATCTCATTGTGGGATTGTGAACAACCGATAGGCACTCCGCTCCCCGATTACCCCAGTCTTTGCCAGACTGCACTGGCTGCCTGTCCCAGAGAGGATCGATTTCAAGATCCTCACTTTTGTCTTCAAATCCCTCCACTCCTCTGCACCCCCCTACGTCTCTGACCTCCTCTTTGCTCACAACAATGCCTGTTGCCTTCACTCCACTGGGTCTGGCCTCCTCCTTGACCCCCAAATCTTTTGCTCCACCATCGGCAGCCGTGCCTTCAGCCACTATGCCTCAAGGCTCTGGAACTCTCTTTCTCACACCCTTCACCTTGTCCCCTCTCTTCACTATTTTCAGGTCTCGGCTAAAGACCTTTCTTTTCGACCGCACCTTTGATCACCTTCCTCCCCCTCCCCCTGGCTCCGGTATCCGTTTTTGTGAAGCGCTCTGAGATGCTGTCCGGCGTGGAGGGCGCTATATAAATCCAAGTTGTTGTTGTTGTAGGAAAACAGCTAAATCTTGGAATAGGAAACAGATTCCAAAGATGGAAGGGTTCGGTAGGTTTTTGTTTCATCGCAGACAAGCAGTCAAATATCAGCTCACTGTCAACATTAATCAATTCTATTCTGCCTATGTGGAGCCACATTTCATCTTCAGAAGAACCATGTGTGGCTCAGGACATAATATTATGCCAGAGGAAAACTTCGGCTCACAGGAGACTGCCCAGAAACAAGTAAAACTCCCAACAAAAGCAGCTGATGCTGTGTGAATTCATTCCTTCAAAAAGAAATCCATGTAAGTTTCTGTTTGAGAGCCATATTGAAGGTGTAGGATTAGACACAGGCTGAGATGAAAAATACTCCATGGGATAGACTTATCTGTGTGCTTTTAGAGCTAAGGAGGACAACTGAGAGGATGGTGGAGAGAAGAAGATTGGGATTGAATAGTGGAAATATGGAAATGGATGCATACTCTAGAACTTTTGCACAATTACCGTTTGAATATCTGTTCAATACTATTCTGGAGGAGATTCAGTGGTGAGGTGTGATATGATTACCTCCATGTGACACGAGGGAAGCCAACTTGATAGAAGGTTGGCCTTATCTTATTCCTGCTTTCTTATATTCTAACTTCAACTGACTTGTCAAAACTGTCTTTAGTTTTTTTTAAAAAAGTGTAACTAATAATAAATTAAAACTTCAAGCATGTCTTAATAAATTAATCACTTTTTCATTAATCAAAAGATTGGATCTTAGGTAATAGTAATAATTAAATATTTAAACAAATTTCTATAAATAATTGTAGTGTCTATAATTGCAAAACATACAGGAACACAGATGTTGCCCTTCTGCTTTTAGTCTCAAGCCTCTGGTGTTTTATCTCCACAAAAAATTGGGAAAATATTAGCGCATCCTTGCTTTCACTGTGATATAACACAAAGGATCAGAATGAGAAGGACCAATGATTCCATCCAGGTCCATGTTCAGGACTTCCTCCAACCATTCTACTTCCCCTCCTACCTTATGTCCCCTCCATCCTTCTGCTGCTTTTTCAATCAGGAATCTTCCCATTCTTTTTTATGAATGCACTGCAATAGGAGGACACCTGCTTCATAAATTAATCCACAAGCTTTGCTTAGCTTAAAGTTTCCTGGGGCTCTTCACCTGGGCACAAATGAGGACATCCCAAGGCACTGGTCAAATCTAAGTTAGTTATTAACTTTCCATTTCCCTATAGTTGCATGAGGTAAACACACTTCATAATATGCAGCTGATCCACAGAACCCATTGAATATTGATACCTCCTCCATAATACATTTGCTGATTTCAGTTCGGCAAAGGAAGGAGAGAAAATCCAAGTTTCTCATTCCTGATTGCTGTGTAATGAGCCTTGGTGAAAAGTACACATCGAATGAGGAATAGGATTAGATTGTGCTATATTGAACACTTTGACTGAATAGGCTAGAATCCCTTAAGAGGCTCACAGATTAAGAATATCCACTCGGCCAAGTGTGGGTACATGTTACCTGTGGAATTCTGAGCGCGAGGTAATACTGTGGTCAATTCTGTAGTCAGTGTGTGATGCAAACCTCATAGGAACTCTCTCAACCGTTTTATTTTCCGAGTGGAGTTCTGCTAAATTGATGTGACATAGTCCCAGTTACCAAGAGTCCACACTTGAAATTGTGTTCAGAAATACCATAATATTGACCCCACAGCCTTCTGGAGAGGAGGTGAAAATTTGAGGGGAAAAAAAACTCCAACTGCTCCTTCTTGGGGGTCACCATGTTCATTAAATAACAATGTATAAATTTATGGTAAGATGGATTTTGAACTGTTTGTTAAATGCATAAGTTAAATCCTAATTGTCTTTTGGCATAAAAACTTGAAAATTCCAATTCAATATGTTCTTATTTTTTTTCTTTAAATGAGAAATTTTAATGCTAACTAACAATTTACTGATAGATTCTCAGTACATTTTGTAATTTTCCCTCCACTCCTCTACTGAAGGCACTGGCTCTTGCTGGATTTCAGTTTCACTGGAACTACATTGGTAGATTCCAGTTCCCTGATCAAGTGGCCATTTTTCATGTGTGACCATGAAGATGCATTAGCATAAAATAACACATTATTTTAACCCAGAAAACATTATAACTCAACCCAATCTTGCTTTGGATATTTATGCTTTTGTTTCTTTCTTTTTCTATCAGCGGTCACTGGAGAGCGATCAGGAGCAGGAACTCTGGTAAATCTTTCTTCTCTCCAGCCACACTATTGTGGTGCCCCAACTGTTGCCCTAGTTTAGAGGAACTAACTCAGTGCGAATTACAAATCAAATCGGTAATTTTCTATCTATAAGACTTAAAGCTCCTCCATGTTTTGCTATTAATCCAGTCTGGAGAGCTTTCATTAATAAGGTGTTAGATGTCTGGAATGACAGCACATTGCACTGTCTTAGTCCAATTTGCTGACCACTTCGGTACACTGAAGAGCACAGATCAGTATAAAAACAGATCATTAATGTTCCTGCAGCCCCTGTCGAGTCTTGATGTTTGAGTTACCTATGTGCATCAGTGATGCCATTAGTTACTGTAGTCATGGTAGAATGACATTTTCATTTCAGCATATTTTGGAAAATTCTCTGCACGTAACATAGCACATAATTCTGCAGTAGGATTCCTCACATCTCCCTCGAAAGAGAGTGTGGTTCTTTTTTTAGGCTAAATAACTAAATGAGTCTTCAGATTAAACCACAGTCATATTTTAATGTTGAAAACTGTTGCTGTTATAAAATCCTTGAATAATTATATTAAATGTCCTCTACGTGCCACCTCTGTAGCATTCTCTGTTTATCATGTTACACAGCATTGACTTAAACACGATCGTTGACATAGTATTACTGATGCAGTCTGAGGAATAGATTGACATTAATTGGTCATGCTGGAGTAAGACTGAACTTTCCATATTTATTCCAAAGAAAAAAAGAATATTCCATTGGGCATTTTACTTTGTTCACCACAGTACAAAACATAGTAACTACTCTGAGATTTAAATGAACATAGGCATTAGCAAATATAAAATAACACCAAAAAATTTGAAAAAAACGTAAAAAAATAAATAGTTACTAACCATGCCTGATCAAATATGGTCTAAAGCAATATAAATTTGCAGCTTACACCTTATCTAAGCAATAATAACACAAACTGCACAATTATAATCACAGAAAAAATAAACTGAAAGGTCACTATGATCAATACTGAATACATGACTTTATAGAATACAATTAGTACTCATAAATGGAATGTGGTAATAGCTATTTCCTCCAGCGTTATGTGGTGTGTCCCTGTGGTGTTGAGTTCATGCATGACATGCATCACTTGTTTCTAATTAGACACGTCTGTACAATACATTCATGCGATCGTGCAATTTTACAACTGTAAAATCTAAATTGTATCTACTTCCCCCTTTTTTTGTTTTTTTTTACAATTCTCCCATATTTCCCGACGACAAAAAATCTTCTTTATATTTTTATACAACTGATTAATTATCATTTACATTCTGAATATTGACATGAAAATACCACCGAAAAGTATAACGTTGCGTGTCTTTATGCTTCTTCCAAAATGCACGTATGTTTCACATCAGGGGGGAATAAAAGTTAGTTCTAAAAGTTATCTTCACTGCAGTTGCACGTGTACTTTCTATTTTCAATAGAAAGCTGAGTGTGTCAATCAATTTCAGAATCTTAGCAGAGAGCAACGATATTTCTATTTACATCAGGAGTGTTTAAACAGCACTCTCATGTCCTCATCTCCTGACAATATGCTGTTCTCAATCACATTTTTCAGGATTCCCTTTCATGAAACCTAATCTGAGAGAGAGTGTGTAACGCAGTCGTAAACTCTGTGTGGTCCCTCTCCCTGGTAAGGCCCATTGTGCCAATAAGAATCACACACTGTTTGCAACGAATTGATTTCTGACGCAGAGGAGTTTGTATCCCTTTTTCTTGATCTCTTACGATTTCTCAAGATAAACACCAGCATGCCAACAACCGTAAAGGCAGAGGTCACAAAGACGAGTAAAAGCCCAGGCACCAGCACAGAGATAGAAACTCTGCTGGTCTCTAAGTAGGTATTCACATGAGTCCCTGTTTCTGGTGACATGGTGGTGTTACTGGATGAGGAAACTACTGTATGGATTTTTGCATGCAGCTCCGGGCACATTAAATCATTGCTTATAGACTTAAAATCTCTGTCCCAAAATTCTTCAGGCGATGCACATTTTAATTCACTCACGACGACATCGGGGCCCAGCCTCTCAACCCACTGCTTGAAAGCTATAATATTGCACGAGCAGTCCCATGGATTTCCATGCAGGTCGATTTGCACAACTGAAGTTAGCTGATCCAAAACCCCCGTGACTGGAAGGTACATGAAATAGTTAGTGTGTAGACTCAGTTTGGAGAGTGAGATGGAAGAAAATGCATCCACAGGTAAAGATTTCAAAAGATTGTTGTGTAAAAACAACTCCCTCAGTTTTGGCATGGTGTTGAGTGTGCCTGGTAGGATCAGCTGAATCAAATTGAACTCCAGGTTCAGGTACTCTGTACTTTGGAGCCCCACAAACATATCTGGGATGAGAGTTTCTAAATTGTTATTATCCAGATACAGCCAACGCAAATCAGAGAGATTATGGAACGAGTTGTTTTCTATTAGCTTTATAGCGTTATTTCCCAAATCTAACAAAGTCAAACCACTGTAGTCCAGGAAATGCATTTTCTTTACGATTCCTATATTGTTTTGTCTAAGGAAGAATTCCTGTGCTTTTAATGGTTTCGGCTGAAGGTCAGCTAGACTCTCAATTTTGCTGCCCCTGCAATTAACCTTGAGACCCGATTCAGGATTTTCCACAGAGCAGCTACAAGCTGTTGGACATCCAGCTAATAAAGGTGGACCACTGTACTCCTCGTTACATACCTCGGCTGGAGGTATTGTCCTGTGTTGCCAGTTTCCACGTGGCTTTGATGTCTTGTGCCCTGAAGCTGACGTTGGTGACTTAGGATGCTGAATGACAGGAGTCGAAGGCAGCCCAGATGCCCCTTGGGTTGGTGGAACCATAAGACTTAAATCAATCTTCCAAGGGCATAAATCCTGTTCTGAAGTTTCATTTAAGTCATTCCCTTGTAACCGCATCGGTGCCTCACAAACTACTCTTCCAATCAAGGCTGAATGGGAGATGTGATCCAGCCATTCTTCAAGAGAGAGAGAGNAAAAAACATAATGGGTCTCAATGTTCCAGAAAGCTTTTATATTAACTGATATGCTACTATTATGTTCTTAAATCATGAGAAAAATATTATATCAACCCCTTGTTGCAAAGCATACGAATACCGCAAGTGCAAATTGAATTCCAAAGCAGAATTTGACAAATAACGTAAACACTTTTTAAAAAAATTGCCAATGTAACAGCAAAGCAAGGATCATTGGGAAATGGGAAATGTGTGGCGGAAAGTAGGGGGGGGGGGTTAGAGAAATAATATTGCAGCAAAAGAGGTAAGATCATAAGCAACGCACGTAAAGCTTGATCCATTGCCATGGCTGGTGTCACTACTGCAGGGATATTTTGCTAGTTTAGTACAGCTAGTTCATCCTGCATATCATGACCAAGAAGTACCAGTATAGTCATCACCAATGCATCCTCACACCTTTCCTCTGCTTCTTATGCCAATCTCAATGAAGACTGCCAGGTGAGTCTCACACCCTAGGGCCAGTTTGTGCTTATAAACTCCTCTTTACATTAAGCTTGGCTCACTGCAGACTGCCAGAATTTAATACACTTCCTTTGACTGACATCAGGGAACGCAGACCTGTTTCTTTGGCTGGAATTGGTTTTGATTTTCAGTGGAGGGAACCCCTTCTTACCCAACTACGCCATCTAGCTTCCATGGTTTGCAATTATTATTTCCCCCCTCTTATTTCTTTTAAAAAAAACCTATTGACAAAAGTCTTTTTCGCCTCACCTTTAAGGGGCAGCAGATCACAGGTGCAGTCCCAGGGGTTGTCCTCCAGCAAGATTTCAGCCACCCCGGGGATCAGCTCCAGAATTCCCTCGTAAGGCAGCGTCTTAAGCCTGTTCCCCCGGAGATCCAGATGTGTGATGGGCACACTTAGGAAGAGATCGGACGGGAGAGTGCTGATCAGGTTGTCATTTAATATCAGAACCTCCAGCTTGTTCAAATCCCTGAACGCCTCGGCGTCGATGTCTCTGAGCAGATTGAAATCCGCCTGCAGATACTCCAGATCATCCAGCCCCAGGAAAGTGTGTTTCCTGAACGCTTTGATCTTGTTGTTGTTGATGTGCAGGCGCCTCACCAGTTGTAACCCCAGGAAAGATCCCGGGATGATGTCGTGCAATCCGTTGCTTTCCAAATGCAAAGTGACCGCGTTGTAAAAGTTGGTGAACTCGTTGGGGAAGAGCCTGGTCAGGGAATTCCTGTAGAGGAAGAGTTGGTAAAATCGGGAGGTCGGTGCGCTGAAGTGCTGCAGGTTGGAGAGTCCTCTCTTCTCGCAATCGATATGCAAAACGCCTTCCACCTCTGTGCAAGTGCAGATCTTTTCGCAAAGGTCCGTCGTCTTGTTGCCCCAAGTAAAACCCAGAGTCGTGTGCACCAACACAACCCACAGCAGCATTTTCAGACGATGCAATCCGCCTCCCATCTCATATCATGAATTGCGTCCGGCTCATCCAGGACAAAAAAAAAATGTGATTTTTTTTTAATTTAAGGAGTATATATATGTATATATATATTAAAAATCCACAGATCCGAGCCGGGAAAAGTGGTAACAAGTCCCAACGGCGCTTTGTCGATCCAAACACAAGTGTGGGTGGGCACGTACCGGCAGCACAGCCGCGACGCAACGCAAAGCCTCGGCAGTTTTGCTAAAGCAGAACAGACATCGCAAAACACTGCAAACACTGCACAAGTACACATCGGGCATCGCGGTCCATCGCGATCACCGGCTGCACAGCGCCCGTCTGCCTCTCCGCTCACCGCCGACCCCCCGCAGACGCGGTGCAATCCAGGATCACTCAGTGGGAAGGCTGCTGCTCTCTCTCACTTGGTCCTGAATCCATGCCCCAGACTTTTATGTGGCCGGTGAGTACGCAGCGTGTCGGGGGGGAGGAGGGGGTGGCGGTGGCGGTGGCGGTGGTGGTGGTGGGGAGGGGGCAAAAAACCTGCAATCTCTGCATATTCCAGCCCGTGCTCTCCGCAAACACAGCCTTTTCCCTCTCCCCTTCCTGGTGCGGGAAGTGCTAAGCGCTGTGTCTGTCGGCTGCACGGACTGACAGCCCGGGATGAGCTGCGGTGGCAAAGATATCCATCTGATCTGATCTGATCTGATCTGATCCAAGGAAATGGTCGGAGAGAGAGAGAGAGAGAGAGAAAAAAAATCAATTCACACCACCGGCCAAATCTTACTGGTGTTGGCTGTTTGAAGCTGTCGGTCTCTTTGCCTGTGTTCAGCCCCTCATCAGATGACTTCCAGCTGTGGTTTTGATTCCTTCTTTCAGTCCTTCTCGACTGTGTCGGCAAAGTAGATGTTTTTTTTTCTTCTGCTTCTTCTTCTTCTTCTTCTTCTGCCTCTGGTTGTTGTTTAATTCGCAGACTGGTTTACGTTTAAAGAGGCAATGCGTCAGCTGGAGAGCAGGAAGGTAAAGCGCTGGACTCTTCTCTCGCCATTTCTATGCATTGCAAAAAAAAATCAGTGCGTGTGTGTGTGTGTCTCTCTCTCTCTCTGTCTCTCTCTCTCTCTCGCCTTCTCCCTCTCTCTGCTTTGCACACGTAAGGAACGGTCTGGACCCGAGAGTGATGTGTTTGATCGCGAAACTGCCAGAGAGCAGCAGTGTGCAGGTGTTCACACGTCTCTCTCTCCCTCTCTCTGGCTGTGTGCACTGTGCGCGTATGTAGATCTCAACGCCCAGAAAGCACGCATTTGGGTACGATTTACGTACGAACAGATCCCACTTTTTTTTTTAAAAAAAGCAACTAACAAAGTTTAGCAACTTTTTTAAAAAAAAATATATATATTTTACGCTTTTACGCTCGTATCGAGCGAGTTGCAGATGTTCGGAGCGTTTCTTTCGGTTGATTTATTACCAATAAACCAGAGCCGCACTGGAAGATGGTGTTGTTCCCTTTGTGAAACGTTGGCCAAATCTCTCAGAGACGTTGGCGTTCGTGTTGGGACACAGCGGTGAAAACCTCATGACTATTTAACCCCAAATCACCAGCAGTTATTTGCTCCCAACTGCTGACACAGAGTTGCACACCGGATTCTGACATTGTGGGAGTTTATTAATTAGAGGCTCAGAGTTCTGCCACAGTTGTTTTTTTTTGGGAGGGTTTAAAAAAAAATAGTGAATAATATCTTGTTCAGTGGGCGAGAAATCACATTGACTGAACTCTTAACTCGGTGTGTGTGGCAACAGCTGCAGCATTTCCTGTGGCGGAACAGCAGAAAAGCCACTGAAATGCTAAAATTCAGACCAACCCGAAAGGAATCCGAAAATGTCAGTGAAGCAATGTTGAGGCAACTGATGAGATGTTACGATCAGGTCGCACCAACGCCCATCTTCTACTTTATCGTACAGATGGAATGATTTAATTGCAGCCAAAAGAATAATCTTATTGAGTATTCCCCCAAGTTTATCTCACACTGTTGGTCAAATTGAATACGATTTGAACGTTGAAAATTGAAAGCGACAGTTGAAATGGGTGACACTTTTTGTACGAGGTTTTACCATTGCGGTGACATGCAATCAAATATAATGTGGCTGAATTATGAGAGAGTAAAATGCAAATTGTCTAAAATGATTGCATTTACAGGGTAAAAAGGTAGTGAATATAAAACATATCGAGTGAATTTGGTATTGTAAGCTATGCTCTGCACGATCTTATTTCTAATATTAATTAAGTGTTGTCTGTGCAGTAATAACAAAGGTGGTGAAAGCAGGAAGTCTTGAAAATGAATACATGTAAATTATGATTAATTTCAGGACTGTGGAGTGTGTAATATGCTATTAGCAGAAGTCTAACCAGTGTAACATAATTGAAGCTTTGGCATTCCTTTCCATCAACCTCTTCTGCAGTACAAGTCGCCTGTCAAATATAAAATCTAATTATCATACCTTGTGGTTGTGTAAAAAAAAGTTTCTGTAGAAAACTCCATCTCATTTCTATTCAAGGAGAAGTTGGTTTTAATCAAATAGACTTGAGGAAATGTTTAATAATAATCTAGAAAATATTTCAAAACTTTTTTTTAAAAAACGTATCTTTTTGTTGGTTTTTAATTGATTCAATTTAGTTCAGATTTGCTTAAGCTATCTTGATATTTAACAGACATTGAGTTTCAGGTAGATTTTGTATGTCTTAAATGTCCACTTTATTTTGTCAAAGTATAAACTGACCCTTTAATCTTTAACCTTATAAATTTTGAAAATTGTGCAACCTATATTGTAGATGTAGAGAATTTCTGAATTGATTTTCAAACAATAATATTGGGTTTAATAAGGATAAATTTTAAAAGTTGGATGTTGCTATAACAGCCAATGCTATCCTGCCGCAGAAAACTGCAAAAGCAACCTGTAGCAAATGAAGATTGATGACAAACAAGGAATGTTAATAATGAGAGGGTAGAGGCTGATATGGCATATGCAGCCCCTGACTGCCTCGCGGTAAATAGGAATCCGGTTGTTAATTGATTGGCGTATCTCTTTTCCGGGGTAATAATTCCTTCCAAAAAGATAATAATAAGTTGGTCACTCAATCTACGACTGTTTGTGGGACACTGCTGGGTGCAATTGGCTGCCGATTTTCACCCACAAAATACACAGTCAATTCACTTTACAGTATATTCTGTGAAGCGCTTTGAGATGTCTCAAAGGCGTGATAAGGCACTATATCAAATGCAAGGATTATTATTGTTATTATACAGTCTACATACTTGCAATTCACACTACAAGCAAACTGTAGGCTTTTAAAATAAATTGTAAACACTTCACCAAAGATAAACAAGAGAAAAAAAAGAAAATAATTCAAACTACTGTAAATTATTGTGCTTAAAATGTAGTTCGCAGCCCTTGAAGCAACAACCTGAAATTAACCTTGACTGTGGTCTATATTTAGAGTTGATGACTTATATTTTTAAATGGAACTAACATGTCCTGCCTTATTTCAGGATATGTAGCATGCAGACCAGAAATATAACTTTATTTTAACTTGATTGTAGTAAACTCCTGCTATCTGTGCTGAGAATTAGATTTTAAAAAGCTTTGGCTGGTTCAGCCTGCCAGCTAGTATTGGATTTCTTGCACAGATACCAGCTTTTGAATCTCACAGTCGCCACTGCTGTTTGTATTCAAGTGGCCCTTTGAGAGACTGCTTTGCCAGTCTAACATGCTTTTTCTGTGGGAAAACACGCCTCCCCACAAAAAAGGTTGCAAGAAAGACAATATTTCCGGTGGGGATATCTAATTATCTAATGGATGATCCCACTTTCGCAACTTTCATGGGAATTTAATTGGGAAGCAAGCAAACAAAAAATTTAAACTGGACTAGGTCTTAAGAAAGTTCTTTTTGGGGGACAGCTCCAATGCCGTAGTAGATAGAGCTGCAGTTTATGAACAAGGAGGGTAGGGTGCTGTACCAAATTCTAATCCATGCTGAGTTCCTTGGTCATGACTGGGGCTGCATGGAGAGGCTAAATTGGCTCTGGTCTTCCCAGGGTTAGGGAATGGAAAACCAGTGAGGGCCCATGCTATTGGTGCTCTTTCAGCACATTCTACTAGTTGTGTTTATGTGGCAGTCAGGTGGGAGAGGTTATCCTTGCCTGTGGTGCCTTCTACAATCAAGTGACATGTTGACACTCACTGTCAAGGCCCACAGATTGCCTGTTGGCAGAGGCGGTATTTGCTTTGCAAAGCTTCAATTTGTTAGACGTTTTACTAGACAATGTTACTAAATCTTATCACTGGATCCTCTTGGAGGCCCTGACTGGCTCAGGGCCCTGTGCAATTGCATGTGTTGCCTGGTCCTAACGCCTGTTGGGTGGGGTACTAGAAGACAATTGGTCCCTGTGATACCACTCGCCAGCAAGAGAAGGATGGAACAGAGATAGGGAAAATTTAGAAAAGAAAATTTGGCACACTGGAGCTATTTTAAAAATTCTGTTTATCATTAGTTTATATCAATCAATATCTTTTGTTTCGTAAACTAAATGGAATTTTAGCATAAAAGTCAGTTACTTGGGAGGTGAGGGGATAGTTAAGGGATAAAACATTAAAAATATATTGTTTCAATAGATAATTAACTGCAGACAAGATAGAAATCAATAAGTGTGCCATATTAAATTGGAACAAACCCAGTAACCATAATAGTATTATTCAAGCAACACCTGCAAAAAAACAAATACATATTCACAGTCAAAATAATTTTAAGAGTAATACGTGTGCATCCTTTTGGTATTTATTGTCCTTCAATCTTGAAATATATATGGTAAGTCATTTAATTCCTTTAATTTATGTATGAATGTGAAATCACTGTTCTGCAGCAACCATTTTTATACCTGTAAGCAATAATGTAGCATTTCAAAGTTGTCTGTCACATATTGTAGTATCAAATTAAATCTTGATTGGTTTGTTGTTCCAAACATGCAGCCACTTTTCTCTGGCATCCCCAGTTCCACCATCCACAAGCTCCAGCTAATCCAAACTTCTGTCACCTGCAAACTTAACAACACAAAACTTTGCATGCCTATCCTCATCAGGAAACATTGTCTGTCTGTCTGCAAACCAATCAACTTCAGGATCCTTACTAACAAATCCCTTCATGCCCACACAGACCCTTTTTCTGGGATCTTTTCCAGCTTCACTGTTTCGCTTCCCCATCCACTTGGCAAATTGGGCCTGCTGCATGAATTACACCAAGAATGCTAATTTCATTTTGGTATTCTTGTCTTTATTGGTGTCTGCATTGTCACCCTGTAGGTCAACATTGGAGTTGCATTTACAGTTCATGTTGAGGCTTCTGGTATCTCAAAAGTCAGAAGAACCATTGGCTCGACCGAATAATTGTGTCACAAATATTAATG